ACAAAATTATGCAAATTAGTCATTGACAACCAGTTCGAATAAGCCTCTTCCCAAGAAATAAGGTAAAATTGCCCTAATGGTCAGATTTAAATTAAAAAACATTGGGGTAGGTACTAAATTTGTTACAAATATTGCAGTTGAATTGATTCTTTGCAAGTGTTGACATTGTATGTATATTGTAAATTTAGTGGAAATTTTAAAAATACCTAGACGTGTGTTAGATGTAGATAGTCTAATTTGTAGTGTACATAAGTATTTTACGGATGAAAAAGAAAATGGCGGTCCTTTAAAATCGGTAATGTCTGTACAACAACGCGTATGCGATGCTCTAGGAATTAGTGAAACCAAATTAAGAGTATTACAAAATCACAATAGTGAACTGCCGAAAGAATATCACCGCAAAACTCGCCCATCATTGAAAACGAAAGATATTCCAGATGGAAAGAAATTTGAAATTCGTGACGTGATACCATTTATCGAATGAGGGCCAACAAGGAACATGTGACAATTCTCTCGGAATTAATACAACATTGGCAGAAAAAGTCTGTGGCAAGTGATACATAACTTGGGTTTCAAATTTCAAAAGGAGGATAACAGAAAAGCCCTTTGTGAAATAAGTTCTGTCGTGCACAAGAGAATTAACTTTCTAAGAAAATATTTTAAATTTAAAGAAAGAGCGAATTTTATATATTTAGACGAAACATGGATATTTTCTAGGGGTGCAACCAAGAGAATATGGCAAGATAATAACGTAGAGTCCATCGAACATACCGATGGAGAAGGGAAGCGACACATAATTTTACATGCAGGAGGGTTTTTTAGAAGGTGCTGATTAAATATTTTCATCAAAATCCAGTGACTATCACGATAATATGAACACAGAAATGTTTTGTAAAATGGTTGCATGAAAAACTTCTCCCAGGTTTAAGTGAGCCCAGCGTAATTATTTTAGACAATGCACCTTACCATTCTGAAGTATTAAACAAAAGTCCAACGAATTCTTGGACTGTTGATAAAATTAAAGAATGGTTGACAAAGGAACATAAAATATACCATTTCCTCAATATATATTAAAATCAGAATTATTACGCTTGGCAAATATACACGCAAAACCAAAAACCTTTGTTGTGGATCAGATTATTGAAAGTTACGGTCATCAAGTTTTACGTCTGCCACCGTATCATTGCCAGTTTAATCCCATCGAATATATATGGGGAATAGCAAAACAATATTATGACAACCATATTGGGCCTAATGGTTATAGTGACGACGCAGTTCGGAAAACTTGGCGAAAAGCATTTTCAATTGCAACTCCAGAAGTGTGTGGCGGAACTGTATATCCAAGTGCGAGAAACTAAAAGAAGATTGGTGGACTCGTGAAAATAAAATAAACGAAATAGTCCAATCATAATAACAATTAATGGTGATAACAGTGATGATGATGACGATTATGATATTTTGGATGATAATGACTGATTTTCATTTTTGTTGGCAAGTTCAATTTTTTTATTTTTCATTTAAAATTCTCTACATGGAACAAATTTTTGTGTTAGAAAATGTTTTATTTGAGCTAAATAACCCTCTTATTATACATAGACCATATTTTCTTTGTGAAGTGTAATATAAAATTATTATTAGGTTTATAATAGCCACATTAGACTACATTAATGAAGAAGTTTAATTCTGCTCTCAATTATACAAAAGATTCTCCATTATTATTTAATTAAAAAGTTGTACATTATTTTTCATTTCATTTAACCAGTTGATATTTACCCAAAGAACAGGTCAAACTTTCGGGTACTTACCTGGAAATAATCATAAAATTTTTAATCCGAAACCCGCGTAAGTATAGCGAACGGACTGTATATAGGTACGTCTTGTATTATATCAGCACTTCAGAGGTAAGGTGTGTTAAGTCACATTTTTCAGAGAAGAGTTTTTCCACTTTAGTACTAAATTCTATCTAAATTCTATCTTTAACAGATTTAGCGCCAATATATGACTGAACACTCGGTAAGTCACAAAGAGTGCCTACTGTAAATTTGGGGTTAATAATTTTAAGTCACATCAAAGTAAAAATTTTAGGACAAAGTAAAAAAAAATTAACAAAAATCGTAATAAATTGACCAAACAATTCATGATTTCTTTACATTTGTTAAAACAATAAGTGAACTTTAAAATGCCTCTTCTGACAAATGGAGATTTGGTGACTTAACACACCTTACCTCTATAGTATAATCTATGTTGAGGAAAAGAAAAATCTTTTTATATACAAATATAATTTATCCTCTTCTAATAAATTGTCATATATTAATGTTACATTTACATTACAGCATAAATAAAAATATTTCCTAGCCACATGTGATTAGTATAGATATTTGTTTTTTTTTTTAATTGAATTAATTCAATGATCCAATTTGTACCACCTTCGCATAAATTTGGACTCTTTTTTAATAAACTAACGATAAAAATATATTACATACTCGCATATACCTAGACAAACATTTTTATAAAAAAAAACATAGTTAAAAGGTCTGATTTCAACAAATATGATGTAACTCTGTACATTTCAAATGACCTGTGTCTACAGGTGAGAAATCAGAGAACTCGGTTATCCTCTAGTATATAGTAATTGTTGCAATCGTCCATTATTATTCACCGATTTAGCTTTAGCATCGTACAGCTGTCATCGTGATAAAAATCTAGAGAACCTTTGAAATATTTTAATATAAAATATACTCTTTACCAACTATTGTACAATCTTTCACCGTTTTAGCTTCTAATGAACCAATATAGGTAGATATTTTAATATACTCTTCAGCTACTTTTGGGCAATCATTCAGCGTTTTAGATTTTAGTGAACCTTTGAGATATTCCATGTATACCTACCCTTTATACCTACATTTGTCCAATCCAATATGTAATTGCGTTACTTTGTGATGTACCTACCTACCTTATTAATACCTACCTCTATTTTTGTGCGCACCCGGTACAACAAAATCTAGGTTTCTTAACGTGTCTCGTATTTATTTAACAAACAAAATAAATTATGAAGAATTACTTTTTTGATTTTAAAATATTTTTACCAAGTCCATCCGTGGACAAACTGTATAATAATGATGTAGAACTAACTCACATTATGACATACATATATAAAACGTTTCAGAACAACTTTTAGGGGTAAACAGGCCCGACGAGAGGGAAGAGCAGGGGGGCAAAATCCCTAGGGCCTTGGCCTAGGGGTGCCCTGCAGCTTTAAAAAATAGGTTCTAACTTTGTGGGGGGCGGGCCCTTGCCAGTGTTTTGCTCCGGGGCCCCACCATGGCTCTCGGCGGCACTGGTGGTAAAGTAGGTACCAGTGGCGTAGCCAGCCATTTTTCATGTGAGGGGTTTTTTGAGAATTATGGGGGGGGTTCCTTCAAGAAAGTGAATAAAAACAAACAGTCAATAGCGATCAGCGTCAATACTATAGCGCTAATGGTGACGGAAGGACCCGCCATGGGGGGTTCTGACCCCCAAAACCACCCGTGGCTACGCCACTGGTAGGTACTATAATACTGCTAATGTGATGTTTTCTGAACTTCCCTTTGCAACCTCTATGAGAGGTGCTATAAAAGTCTTGGATAGATGTAAAGGTTACATTAAAAGTACGTGTGAGTTTATTAACGCAGACAGAATGGTGTTATGTGCTAGATGGGATACCTAGCTAGTTACCTACCTACCTCGCTACCTACCTAGTTTATTAATTCTAGATACAAAATATTAAATTAACAGACAAGAAAATACATTGTCCACGAATAGATCTTGCTGTGAGAATAGGTTGTATTAAACGAAATCGGAAATATTGAGATGATTTTTAAATCGTGCATTGATTGCGTCGTTATATACCCTACCTATATAAATTGTACTAAAACTTTTTTGGTACAGTACCCATAAAACTTTAGAATGAATAGTAATATGTTATCTACAAATACTTAGCAGTAGAAAAATCTCACCTGAATAAGCATTAATATAGAAAATTCACTAAATTTTAACACCGAAAATCTCAAATTCAAAAAATAGACATGGCGTCAGCTTCTTCTCTCTAAGACGCCATCACAGCCATCTAGATTTAAAATATTTTATTAATCTGAAACAGAAGGGTGCGTTCAGAAATGTATGAGCGCGTTCAGTAATCACACACTGGGTATAGGTTCAAAAATACGAATGTCTCTTTAGATTCTTTCGTTCGTCCCACTGATGTAGGAATGAACTACACAAACGAACAGGGTCCATTTCGTTTTACCCGGTGTCAAATTCACTACACCTTTCGGTCGGAGGTATGGTGTCCACTCATGGAGACCTCCATCTGTCCACAGGTGGATATTTTCTTCACCGGGGCTATTTTCAAAGTATGGGAGCACTCATTTTTCTCAAGATTCTCAACAGAAATGTCATATGTCAATGTGGAAACGCTGTTTTTAAAGGCCTCGAGGATTAAAATTCTTAGGAGAATTTTAATTCTCAATAAACAGAGAGAAACAGTAAGTTCACATTGGCCCTAAGAGTCCTAAAAATACTGTTTTACGTTGACGTATGACATTTCTCTCAAGAAAAATGTCATACGTCAACGTAAAACCGTATTTTTAGGGCTCTTAGGGCCAGTGTGAACTCACTGACTGTTTCTCTCGGTTTATTTAGAGAGAATTAAAATCTTCCTAAGAATTTTAATCCTCGATGCCTTTAAAAACAACATTTCCACATTGACGTATGACATTTTTGATGAGAATCTTGAGAGAAATGAGTGCTCCCATACTTTGAAAATAGCCCCCCTGCTATTTAGCAGGAGTGAATTATACTCGACATCTGCATTGGGATTCTCATCTTTTAAATGATATTTAAGCGTGTTGAACGCAAAAAGGGTCGTGTGGAGTTAAAAGAATCACAAGGAGTGAATGGAACTTGTCTGTCCGAACTTACCTTTTACCTTTTCCCAAAACAGAAATGACAAATGCCAGATTAGACAATGACATATTTGTTGTAATTTGTAATTTATGTTGTTTGTGTTTTGTGTATATGTGTATGTAACCCCTAGAAATGGTTTTCATTTTTTTTAAACAAGATAAAATATTTTATGATATGATTAAACAATTTACACTATATACAATAACCGCTCACTACAAATGGTTGTCAGTTTAACCCTGGACAAATTGTCCACAGAATTAATACTAAAAATTTGTACCTATTTAGATATCGAAGACTTGTGTCAACTGAAAAAAGTTTGCCGAAGGTTCAATGAAATAATATGTTTCTGGGACAATGTACTTTGTAAGAATGTCCACTTAGCTGTTGTCACCAACCAGCTCGATGAAGTTTTTGGACTAAAATGTTACCGAAGACTTTCGAATATAGAAAAATTGCGAATCTCCAATAATTGGATAAAAGGAAAGTATTTTGAAAAAGCATTTCTATCTACGAGAAAGCGATTCATTCCGTATCTTCAAATAACAAATAAATTTCTATGGATTAGCCGTGGTGAGACCATTTTTTGTTACAAAAGACTTCAATCTACTCTTCATGTTCGTACTCCTTATGCTACCCTTCAAGGGAAGAAAAATATTGATATCGTTAACTTCCAAATTAAAAACAATGTCTTAGTAAGTGGATTCAGGGATGGGGGCATTTCTGTAGTAAAATTGTCAAACCAGAGTTGTGTGCTCAAAAGCCAAAGCTGCCATCATTCTGATATCAATTCTGTGGATGTGAGTCAATATGGGTGTACTGTGGTATCAGGAACTAGAGAAAATGAATTCAAAGTATGGAACATTGCTCAGAATGATTCTGAGGAGGTACTTAAACAACGATACTGTGTACTTTTACCTGATCTCATCTGGAAAGTAGCCCTTTCAGAAAAAAATGATTCAAAAGTTGCTATTGCTACAGCTGGTAATATATACAGAAATTCTCTATTTATTTATGATTTAAACCGTATGGATACTAGAGATGAACTTGAATTCGATCATAACACTATAAGAGGAATTTTTGATGCCAGATGGGATGGTTATGATACTCTTTGGACTGTTGGGTTTGATGCCTACTTAAGAAGATGGGATCTAAGAACTTTAAAATGTGTAAAAGCTTATTTGGACCCTTGTGGCTCTTCTCTGTATTGTTTGGATTTAGATCATCATAATACAATTTTAACTGGTGCACAGTTACATGGTAGAGTGACCCTATGGGATTATAGGACTGGACATGCCCTCCAGATGTATTACATGGACTCATGCAAAAACCAACGTTATAACAAGAGTTCTCCTGTCTATAGTCTTGCATTTGATGCTGACCATTTGTATACAGTTACTGATCAGAATTTGAACCATTTAGATTTTTCAGTATATAATGCTACTCCAAAGGATTACAGTTTCTTTTTGGATTGAAATTTCTTGGTATTTCAAGAATTCAAAAATTTTTAGTTAAATATCTTAAAAAAGTGTATATTTGGTTATATTTGAAATTAGTTGTTATCAAATGTCTTGCAGATGACATTTAAACTTTTTGATCAACTTGTACCTTGTAAAAATTTGATGTAATTTGTTATCATTTTTCAATATAGAAAATATATTAAACTATTTGAATTTTATTTCTTTTTAAATAATTTATCAAATTAAAAAAAAATAGTAAAAGAATGATTTTATCAATATCTTACAACTAAAGGTGGAACTGTTTGGTTTAAATAAAAGACTTTTTTTTTAATGTTGCTTGTTTATTTATTTATAATACAATACTCTACAGGTCATAAACCCAATTACAGAGCAGGAATTGACAGAATATAATTATTAATAGATCACATTTTTTATATGAATGTTAAGCACATAAAAAGAACTTGTATTTCGTAATAGGTAACAAATTAACTAAGATAAAAAGTGAGATTTTAATACTTTATTAATCATTTTAAATCATATAAATGATATAGGATGTCATTCACATGTAAATATATACAATAGTATACATTTAAAAAACAAAATCTAAAGAACACATTTAAATATACAATTTAACAATAAATACACAAAATAAAAATTAGGACTGATATGCTTGAAAACACCCATATGACATAGGCTGTACCTTGTACTACAAAAACTACAGGAGACATTCATGAATGCTATAGGGGCATTTTTGGGATAAATAACCTTAATTTCCATTTAAATGAGTTCAGACTATTAATTTGTTTTAGAGAGGTAGGCAGATGATTGAATAACCTTATTCCACAGTAGTATGAACTTTTTTCGAAGATGGTTGAAACATGAGGGGGTATGAGTAGTAAATTGCCACTACGAGTACTATAATTATGGTTGTCTGAGTTATAGGTAAAAAACAGTCGAACACTCGAGGTCGAAAAAAATCATGATTCCTATACTTTCTTTATCTGTATACAGATAGGAAAGTAAAAACGGTTCATTTTATGACACAACTTTTAAAGTTTTTTTGTTCCATTTTGTCTGTTTAATCACCTTTTAAGATTATATGGGTTTTGTCACTAACATGTATACTGGAATTTGCATCAATGAACTTATTAATCTTTTCCTCTGTAGTCTCTATATTTTTTTTCAGTGGTGAAATTACACAAAAAATTATATTGGTAAAATGGTTTTGGGTAGAAAATAAAAAAAAATAAAATTTTTATACATTTATTTTTCAACAAATAGTAACATGCAGAAAGTGATATTAATATATCCCATACATATTACGGTATACTTTTTTAATCATATTTTATTCTAAAACGAAATAGTGCCTTTAAATTCCATAAATAATCCTAATCTAATAAAAAGAAAACCAAATATCACTTAGATTTGGGGCTTATTAGAGTACGTTTTAAAATAATATATACAAAAATTGATTCTCCATCATCATAAAAAAGCTTATTTTATTAGATGAGGAGCAAAAGCTTTGGTCAACTTATCTTTTCATAAATAAAAAAAAAATAAAGGAGGATACAATAGGTTAATTTTGACTATCATTGTCGTATTTAAACTCGAATAAATAAATATACAAAAATTATTACATTTTTATACACAATTATCTTAAAATCTACATTCCTTACTTGGACAAATCTACATTAATAAGAGTTATTTTTACATCTACAATTGAAAAATTCTAAAATAATAAATAGTACAAAAAATCCAAATAAGGCATTCCGTTTCAATATAAAGGGGAGGTGTGTGCATATTTTTGGCAAGATCACCAGTAATTAATACTTAAATAGGAAACAAATATACAAAAAAATAAATAATATAAAAATATATACATAATTCACAATATAATACCATATCGGTATTGAAATTTATTTAAGAATTTACATACCCAGGCTCAGGTTCGCCTTAGTGGGTTCTTGTATACTTTATACATTATTAAACTGAAAGAGAAATAAATTGTTATATGATTTACATGGATCTTTTAATTGACAATATGTTCGTGTTTATATATTTTATCTTTAGCATTAAATTCTTAAAGAATGTTCACCACAAATTTCAATTAATGCAGCATCTAAAATCAATGAGATTATCTTTTGTGACGAGACTTATTTTCATCTACGTTACTGAACAAATTGCTCTTTACTTAGTTGAAGTTGTCAAAGCTTTGTCTGCAGAACTTCTTATTTCCAGATGCTAATAGTTTTTTTTATGGCGATTACTTCCATTTTAAATTCGAATTAAATGCTTCACTACCTTTGTAAGCTTGTTCACTAACAAATTTAGGGAGATTTACATACGTATGTCTTACTTGGATTTTTTTAAGAAACTATGTACACTACACATCAGAAATTTCAGTCAAATAGAAAAAGTACACACTAAAATCCTAATATACTATTTCCTGAAACATTTCAAAGTTTGCTTATATTTTTATACAATATTGAAATCTAAGTTATTAAAACATCTTTACTTGTCGAAAAACTGCCAAGTTTTTTCCAATGCAGAATATTTGATAATAGATATAATTCGTATTTATTTGTACCAAAATGATAACTAGTATGTCATATAAATACATAGGATCAATAAAAATGACGGCGTAGACATAGCATATAGTGTAAAAAGCAAATAGAATTATATATAAAACTAGAATTAGTCCGGATAAAGCCTTGAAATGATCAGAAAATAAATTTTCCCTAGATTTCTTTATTGCATATAACATCTGCAGTCATTCTACAAGATAGTACGTATCAGCACATTTGGATTAATTAATTAAAACACGCATTTTTATATTTTAATAATTAAAATTGATTAGTGAGTGGGAAAAGCAATTTATATCTTCTACCACCTGTTCAGTCTTCGACAGGTTGTTTTTATACAACCATGATTGTTAAAAATCAGTTTTATACTTAGATATAAAATCTACTGGCAAAAATTCAGGTGTTTCTGACTATATAGATCGTTGTACAGGACTAAATAAAATAAAACAAGAGACATTAAATGTCATCTATGTGCAACATGTATATATGGATTAAATGATAGCTACCTATGACACATTTATATATCCGATACATATTTTTTTGATATATTTACTACAAGTATAGCTCTGTAAGTTATCTGAAATGAGAAGCAACGTTATGATACGATAAAACACGGATAAAAATACTAAAAACATTTAAAATCTCGTTAAATTACACCCAACACATATTTCTTAGTATGCTATAGATTTGTTTATTCGAAAAACGTTAATATTGCACATTACTATTCAATGAAGTGCATCTAAGAATAACTATGTTGTACTAAAAACCAAAAAAAGCACCGGTAAAAATATAAAACTCTACGTATAAGAACTATGTACCAAGTAGACACTTGTGGGCGTGGTAACTTGCTATGGTGACTTTTAAGGTTCCCAGATCAAAGCGAATCTGTGACAAAAAATTCGCATGGTTTGGAGGAGCCGTTAACTGTCACTTGATGCTTAGCAATTAACAACCAATAAACCCGATCTGATTATTTAGACATCAATGAAAGCTCCTAAAACTATTATCGCGTTTTTATATTGCCCACAATAATAGATATACTACATAGAAAACTATTTGAGAGTATTTACAAAGTTGATAGTTATGGAAGCAGCAGGAGAGTTGGAAAACTGTCAAAGCAGAAGGGATATGTAGTTCGTTTTTGACGACTGAAGGTGATGCGACATGCTTTATAAAAGAATACGATTCTGTTTAGTGCAACAATCGCAATATGAAATATATTGTCACAAAAAAAAAGGAAAATAGACAGCATCTATACAACAACAGTTTTCAACTATAATAAAACATATGGAATGTCGAGGAAATTTTCAATGTCAAAATTTTCAGTGTGATTGTAAAATTATGGGAATGTCATAATATTTATAATGTCTAAATTCAAAATTAATTTAATTGAAAATGTTAATTAAAATAGCTATATTTTAAATGCATCAAGTTAAAACAGCAAATGCTATGTATCACAGAGACAATAATATAATGGATGTAAAAATATAAAGTCAAGTTTTATAAACAAGTACTCTTTACCTAAATTATAATTATAAATAAAAATAATTTATTACAGTACCACCAAGGTTTCTGCGCTGGTTCTGAATGGCATATATATAAATATATTTGTTGGTTCATACGTTTAAAAGTAAAAAGTAGGTAAAATTTTTTGTAGAAAACATTTTATGAACAATTTCATTTTTAACAACACTGTAGTGTCATTTGAAAAAAGATTAGGCAAAGTGTACTTAAAAAATTAAAACAATTACTTACTAAAAAAAAACCTAAAATAAATTATATAATACCATTAAATACAGTATTAAAAATTGGTCAAATAGGCTCGAAATATACCAAAAAATTGATTCTAGCTGATATTTCAACCAAAATCTACCCCCAAACTGTTCCATCTACACCAAATAACTGCATTTGACTTAATTTCTGTTAGTCAAAACACTCATGGTTACAAGTGGGGCTTCTGTAAATTAAATTAGAAAAATGAGTTAGTTTTTTTAAATAGGACGTTAACATTGCAACACTTTTGGTGAAGCTAGAATAGAAACAACAAACATTTAGAGTTAGTCACATGGAATAATTCAACAAAAACTATTATTAGCTGGTACAAAAACACTCTTATCCCTTCCTCACAATAGTAGACAAACAATTTTGAAACGATGATCAAATGCCTTTTTTAACCACTCAAAATGAATTCCTTTATACAAAACTCGTCTATTTGCAAAAATCATGTCAATAAGAGGCTTCATCAAACTATTTGTACTATATTGGAAATGGGAAGAAATAACATTGAATCTACCACTTTGATGTAGCCGAGATAATTTTCAATAATAGTTGCCACTGTCGCCTATTATAAATAGATCATCAGTAAAGTATTTTTCCAAGTTTTACCTGTAAAGTTAAAATTTTAGAGATTGGTAGGCAATTTCAATTAAGACGACTGAACTGCCGCATACGATATGAAAATTGATGAAAATGGCCTTATTTTTTGTAAAAAAAAAAAAAGACAAAATGTCTATTTAAGAACACGCTACATAAAGTTGTGTGTGAGGGAGAGAGATATATAGAAAGGGCGAGAGCAAGAAATATAGAAAAGACGAGAGTGAGAGAGATACGATATGAAACTTGAAGATGGCGTTATTTTTTTATAGAAAAAAGCAAAATGTCTATTTAAGATCACGCTATATAAAGTTGTGTGAAAAAAGAGAGGGGGAGAGTAAGAGAGAAATATATACAACAACGTAAAAGCAATATTAATGCATTTAAAGTGATAATTTAAGAAAGATCCAGTCAAATGTCAAATCACAGGACAAAATCATTTTTAACACTTTCCTGGAGTCTTGAAACGTTTAAGTTAAAGTTCATATTTTAATCCTAAAAAGGCATTTGAATGCACATATTTAAATCCATTGTATGAAAACAAACCAAAAGATGTCAAAATGACAGTATATATATAATGTGTGTGTGTGTGGGGGGGGTGGGTTGGCATTAGTTTTAAACTATTTGCCACATACTAGTTTCAGATTTGTTTTTTTTTTTTTTTTTTTTCAATTTTATATTTTTATATCGGCAGACCTAATAAAATTCAGAATTAAATCTAAGATATATTTTTGGTTTGAGGCTAGAAGACAGGTAATATTCAATGGCAAATGGAAACTGTTATTAATAAGATCTTTAAAGAACTTTTCTGTAAACTGTTTATTATTTTCACAATCAAAAAATAAATGATTCAAATCTGCAATCTTTTCACTATCACATGAACAATAAGGGGAATTAATTACACCGATCTTATAGAGGTGGGCTGGGAACCGACCATGATTTAATTTCAATCTAGAAATTATTGATGTGCTATCTCTGGTAAAGTCGAAGTTTGAAATGTGGGCAATATCATTGGGTAATGTTGGATGTATATGGAAGTAATGGTTTTTTAAATTCGGGATAGCGTTTTTGTAGTGCTCTTCCCAACTTTTTCGAAGACCCTTTTTGCACAAAGCCAATAAGTCAAAGCTAGGCACAGAGTAATTTAAGATATTTCCGTTTTTTACAGCTTCTTTAGCTTCATAATCTGCTCTTTCGTTTCCAGTTACACCGACATGCGCTTTGGTCCAAACTAGAGTTATTTTTTTATTTGTTGAGTACAGTTGAAAGAGTAATTTTTTTATTTTTAAGATTAAATCATTTTTATAGTTTTTAAATGGAGAGGCAATTATTGCCTCTAGGACCGATTTGCTATCCGTAACTATTACAGCTCCTGATCTCAGATTTTGTACACACCAAGTAAGTGCCTTCTCTATCGCAATGGCTTCAGCAGTAAAAACTGAGCATAAATCTGGAATACGAAAACGATATACTATATTGATGCTGGGAATAATAAAAGCTAAGCCTGTTCCATGCTCGCTCTTAGAACCATCAGTATAAATGACACCGTCAATGGTAAGGTTACTCAATGTAGCTTTTAAAATTGCATTATTAAGCGCCGGTACACTAGTATAAGCGGGGAATATGACTGATGGTTTGAATATTATTATTTCAAAATTGGTATTATATATGGGGTATTTGTTTGCAACACAAGTTTGAGTAAAATAATGGGTATCAATAAAAGCATCTGTTAAAGGTGGAGATTTTTTTTTCTTCCAATAGTTGGAGGTTAGATTTTCTGTGCATAAGTTCGAGATTTTGTTAGATAGTAATGTATTATATGATCTATATTTGATGATTTGTTTGTTAGCTAGATAATTTCTTCTTAGTTTTAGGGGTGGTTCTTGTGCTTCTGCTAGAATTGCATGGCATGGTGACGATTTCATTAAACCTAAGCAAATTCTAATCGCTTTATACTGGACTCTGTCCAGTATCAACAGATTAGTATTTGAAGCAGTTCCGTATAGAGTACACTATACTTTTACAAATCTGTAAGTTATTTATTTATTTCAAGATGAATTTGTGTTGATGTAAAAGTCATAATTGTGTCTAGCTGAAAGTTGAAAAATTGTTCATTTAAAGAAAATAAAAATAAAAGTAAGGATAGTTCTTGTTTGGTAAAGATAAGACATTAATCGGGAATTTGTAGGACATTTAGATGCAGTCTAGTTTCAAATGGACGAGAATGAAACATTTTTGTGGCAAACACATAATTTTACATAAAATAGACTTAAAACACTTAATCAACACTGGTATGCAAAAAAAGGCAAAAAAGAAAGCTATTAAATGGCAGCTGAATCAATTTCCATACCTTCAGGAGGTACGCGTATGCAATCATTAGATGGTCCTCCATTGTCAATGTTAGCAACATTTTCAATACTTTCGCTATTTTCGATATTTCCGACATTTCCATTAGCTACCACATGTAAATCTACTGTAACCTCGTGTATCATGGGCTCGGGAGGATTGCACAGAGACTGAATGCCGAGATGGAGTTTCATGTACTCATCAATAGATGTCCAGATGCCGGGTCTTTTGTTGTGGTAAAGTTTTGCATACATATAGGCATCGACATTGTTATCGTAGATCAGATGCTTTTTTAAGGTTGTTAAAATGCAAAATGTAGCTGCTTCAGTACCTCCAAATCTAGAAAATATATGTTATACTAAAAATTTGAGCCTAACTAGTTGATTAAGCTACAATGATGGGAAATACCGTACCAGGACAAAGCAACAGATACTTTGAAACTAAGTTACATTTCACACATTTGTAGTGGTTTGTTTTTGATTGTATTACAGTCAGGAACTTACATTTATATTACAGCAAGGACAACAGATTGACAAGGGCAGTAAGAGAGATAAAAAGTTGTATGGACAGAATAGGAATAAACAAATGATGAAAGAACGAAAATGATATACATGTAAAACAAAATAAATATGGACGTACCTGTCAACAACTACTATTGGCCCAGTAGGTAGCTGCAAATCAAGTATGCAATTAAGCAATTGATATATCTCAGTAATGGAAGTAATCTGATTAGGCCAATCATTGCACTCCAACATCTTGATAGGTATCTCAAAATCATCCTGTATGCTTTTCATTACGAATTCTCTAAGCCTAAAGGTCGAATCAGCATTTTCACTTGTCAAATTTATAGTAAAGTTGGTGGTTTTAATAACTTCTTCACCTACTGGCCAAAAAACTTCATATTCTGCGTTATCAATAATACCAATCATGACTATAAGAGGTGAGCTGTGATCCCAAATCATCTGCCAGAAATCATTTATGGTATTTTTAAAGGGATGTTGGGTAACGATGAATTCACGGAGGCTATGGAATCCTTGCAACCAACTGGCATTTATGTAATCAGAACCATCTTCACCAGGTTTTGGAGTTAAGTGAACTCTGGAGCTTTCTACAGGGACGATAGTTGGACATCTGTTCTTTGGTTGATTAACGGTTTTATTTGCTGATACCAGGTGGAAATCTTTGCAAATAAAGCTGGTGACTAACTGCAAAAAAATATTTAGTATAAAAATCTAAGTTGTGTTGCAATTATTAAATTAAGAGAAAAATAATACACCCATACAGTAAAAGTTAGATTTTACATAAATACTTACTCTAAACTGGTGATCCAAACTCTTCCAAAGTTCATCTTTCTCGTCCACCTGTTTATTCTGAAGACATGAGACGTATCTGGGGAAATTCTCGCGGCAAATGTTCGTTTCCCCACATTCGATGGCTTCAACTAGCGCGTCGTGAATAAATATATACTGTTCTTCAGTTTGAACCAAGAAATTTCTTTGAGCACGAATGTGCTTCAAGAATCCAAAGATGTTGACTTCACCCCTCGTTTTTATCTGCCTAAGCATGGCATCAAGCACAATGTAAGTTCCAGTTCTTCCCACACCAGCACTAAAAAATATCAAAAGTTAGGTGTTATTTATTTTTTAGTTATTATACAGAGGCTTCTAAAAATTTTAAGATACGATTTGCTACACTATATAAATAGAAACGTTAGTATTTGGAACACGTTTTGTATTCTGATCATGACTTAACTTGTTACAAGCAAAGTAACAAATGATTTAAATTAAAAAATGGAATTGTCGCATGAGCATTACCATGTTGATTTCAAAGTCGGTTTAAGTAAATAATTTCTTTATAAACACTCGACAGTTATTGATCTGGACATTATTTTTGATACCACAATATCTTTTAACAACCATATAGATTCCATAGTATGTAAAGCCCTCAGAATGCTTGGCTTCATCAAGAGACATACTAGGTACGTGAATGACATAAAAGCAATCATGATACTTTACAATGGCCTAGTGAGAAATCTCCTGGAATACTGTTCTGTTATTTGGCAACTTACTTACACCTGTCATATCAATAGAATTGAAAGGGTGCAAGGTAAATTCGTAAAATACCTGCTCTTTAAACACCAATTTTATAGCCATAACACATGTTATCAAATAAGATTAATGCTTTGCGGCATGCAGAGCCTGGAATGCAGAAGAAAACAGGCTTTACAGAACCAATTACGGACAAAGTGCATTTATTGATCGCTAATGCAAGAACTATAACAAATTTTACTCGGACTGTGATATATTTAATTATAATATTTTGACGCTGAAAAGGGACTTACAACTCCTGAATGTCAAAATTTTACTCGTATCGTCCCGCGGTGTTGGGTTATTCTTCCTTTTTTTTAATATTTTATATATATTTTTTAATTTATTTTATATTGTTTTTAACTCCTACAATTGTTTGTGTTAGGTTAGATATACTGTACTATTTGGAATTTTACATTCTGTAAGTGCTACATAAATAAATAAGTAAATAAAAAAATAAAATAAATAAATTAGTGCATTGAAAGACTGTAGCATTTGGGGAAGGATATCCATCCAGAGCGAGTGTGTTTATATTGGAGATTACTTTGAACATTATTAAAAAGTTTTCAAAATCATTTGTGGTTTTTCTGTACCTAAAAATGTATAGAGTAAGAGTAACCTCCATATAGGGGATAATAGAGATAATGCCATAATTTTTATTATACTATCTCTGCAACAGAAAGCAACAGGTTCAAATTGTAGACCACGTATCAACTAGTACAGAGGAGCAAATATATAAGGAATTTCATGTACACATCTGACTAGAATACCGAGAATTCTTTCAGACGTCCCAGAATCCCCTTTGAAGTTTCACAATTCCTTGGAAGTCATGGAATTCTCTTAAAAATTAATGAAACTCAATATGAAACTATTACTATTACATTACATTTAGATTACCAAATGGACAATTTTAACATTTTTTTAATTAATATTTGAGTATATGTATAAGGTTTACATCTACCGCTTACACTACTTTATAATATTTTATGAACTATTTTGGTGCCTAATATTTATATTTACAATTTAGTACTAGATTTAAGTTAATTATTTACGTAATTATAATAAGTTATTGATAGTTGGCCTTGACTAAGATTCCCAGGAATTATTACCTGCAATGCACAACAATTGGTCCGCTATCAGGAGGGTTGGCTGTAGATGACTTTTTAACAAAATGAAGAACAGGTAGAGGATGGTCAGGTGTGCCATGGTCAGGCCAGCTAGTATAGTGGTATTGGTAGACAACTTTTTCTGGTATTGGACTCTTCTTAGTCTTAATCTTCAAAAATAAAAACAAATTTGTGAAAAGGTTAATTCTACAAGAATATACTCACAGATACTCTAAGATGGCGAATAGATAGAGTCCTAACGGTATAAGTAGCCATGATATCTTCCTTGACTAGTGTTACTTGGATCACACCATAGGTTTCAGACCCTTCTTTGGGCCAATACATATCACATTTTCTCTAAAAACGGATACGAAATAATAAACTCGCATTTTATAATAATAATAAATTTAACTAATTTCTTTTTAAAAATACATCCGCTTTTAACAGGACAAAACAAAACAATTACATTTTTTTTGGGTTACCATACTTATATCCTCCTGTTAACATCTACCAAACAGAATAATGAACATTGACTCAATATACACACACACATCCATAAATGCCTACCCAATGAAATCAATACTAACTTACAAATAACTATAAATAGTTAAATCAACCAAATATCGTGGGCTTACTGCAAAAACTGACAAAGTCAACATTTGTAAAATTTGAGTCAATATAAATATAAAAACACTGTGGTGATATTCTTTCTCTAGTCCTGAGATATTTTCGTATAAGGCAATTTTGACAATACTACTCCAAATTAATATAATACACACTAAACAGTGATACATGTCAAATTTTAAAAAGAATCTTAGAATATAATTACCCTTCCTCTCTCCACTAAATTGGTAATCATCACAATAGTGGTAACCCTTTGTTCCCATACCATTCTCCAAAAACAGTCAAAAGTGGATGGAAGTGGTCCTTGAGTGCCAATATAAGCCCTGCTCATTTGAAAACCGTCAATGTAGTTAGCGTTAATATAATTTGAAAGCTTTTCTCCTTTCATTGTTAGCAGATGAACGCGAGAATGATCATCTAAAAAAATCAAAATTAAGGCTCTTCATACCAGAGTGAGCCATCCCCCTAAGTTGTCTTATGCGAGGTTAAGGCATGAAGTTTCTGGCATGGCAAAGTCTGACAGAAGTTTAAATGATTTTAAAATCTGATAGTAGTATCTAATATAATTTCTCACTGTGTGAAATAGATTATAACTTCAGAATATCAAAGTCAAAATGAGAACTTATAATTTTAAATAAAAAACACTTACAAGCAATAATATTAAGATATCTATTCTTGGGCTTGTTATCAGGATGCTGTGAATCTTCTGAACTGTTAATTTCATTAGCAGCATCATTCTGAATAGATTCATATTCTTTGCTGAATCCAATGTCGCCATCTGCATGAAGTTCTTGCACATGTCTTGCAAACTGAGACACTGCAATAGGACCAGTATATTCAGCTGCTGTAGTAGGTTCTGGGGTAATATTCCAGTCTAAAGCTGCAGATGAACATTGTGGGTTATCCAGGTAGTAATAAGGAGCTCGAAAGCACTTCCTGTAAATTAATTAAAATGAGTTACAGGTGAATTCATTAGATGATTTAAATGTTTACCTCCAAACTAAAAACGCTAGACCTGCTATGATTAGAGCTAGTGTTGCACATAATACTCCTGCAAGAATACCTGCCCCTAGCTCGCTGGTTGAATGGGATAGATAGTCTAAAACTTTATCACAGTTTTTAGAAATGTAAACCCGAGATGGAGCAGAGAATTCTCCTAAGATCAGTCTGTGGCTTCTATTGCTTCTTGTTGAAGCTCGAATTTGGACTTTATAGTCATTATTCGGTATAACGTTCTTACGATTGTACTAAAAATAATCAGTTTTTTTTTTAATATAAAATGTGTAATTCAAAAAAAATCTATACAATAGATAAGATTGCACAAAAAATAGGAAAACATTCAAAATTATGTTCTTATGTGGAGCCTTTCTTCAATCTGTCATTTTATTATGAACAGTAAGGATACTTGAGTCCAAAGCAATTTTTATTAATTTTGAACCTTCTTCATAAAAAACGAGATATATAAATTATGGAAAGTGCTTTTTTAGTTTAATTACATGCAGGAATTTTTATAAAAAATGAAATTTTCTGAAAAAGTTTCAACTATAATATTTTCCATTTGTATCTATATTTAACAAATATACAGTGTGGAAACCACTTATGGAATAAAATTCTTTATGTCATTATTTTAGAAAATTGTAAAAAATGCCGAGACACGTCAACTTTTGAATTGAGTTGTGCGTTATGTAAACATAAATTTAAATGTACAGGGTGATTCACGCAAGTATGCCATAGTCGGTGTTGTTTTTTTTTAATGAAACACCCTGTATATTTGCATATTTTTGAAATCCTCTTAATGAACCGATTCCAACAAACTGAATAATGTATGTATGCAAATATACAGGGTGTTTCATTAAAAAAAAACAACACCGACTATGGCATACTTGATTGAATCACCCTGTACATTTAAATTTATGTTTACATAACGCACAACTCAATTCAAAAGTTGACATGTCTCGGCATTTTTTATAATTTTCTAAAATAATGACATAAAGAATTTTATTCCATAAGTGGTTTCCACACTGTATATGTTTCCACAAGAAGCCATATTGATCCCATGGGACCAATATGGTTGTTGATGTTGATAAAAACATGGAAGATCTATATTGAAAAACATATTTTGCAAAGAATGTGTTAACTGTAATAATTTCATTAACAATAAGAGTTCAATTCATTGAAAACTGAGTTGTATTAAAGTCTTGTTACCATGCTGGTATCTATTTTTTTTGCTTAAGAAGTAAGACTATCTAGACATTATTTAAAATAATTATTACATCGTTCAACTTACAAAACCCAACATTTCAATTATTTATATGATAAAGTAAAAATAGTTATATTTTTTTTTTTTTGAGGTATATAATTTTTAGGATGAATAAGAGGCAATCTCTTACATTCTAACTGTTTTTAAATATTGATAGACAGAATAGAGAATTTGAAAAATATGACTGCATCTAATCAAATTTACAATTGATACCTCTCCATATATGTTAACAATGATTCTTTATAGAAATAGTAATGTATTAAAACTTATAAAACCTCATGTAAAAGCTGTGAAATGTGTTAAACAACATTTAAGGGTAAATTAGAAAAGTTTATTTTGAAAAAATTGCATACCTTGGATATTGGTCTATCATTTATAACTAATGGTTTAGTAACTACTGTTTTAAAATAGAAATATAAAGTATTTTTGTACAATTAAGTAGGTACATCTTAGTATTGTGAAAAATTATTGCTACTAAATACAGCAAATTTCTAAACTATATATTTTTTAGTTTGATTATGGTCAATACAAAAAAGATTCTTACTGTAGTTTGTAAATAATCCTTATTTGTCGGAATGGTGATATTATCATAAAGAGAATTTCCTAAATTAACATATACATAATAGTAATCTATTGAGTAGTAAAAGCTAGATGGTATCTGCCAGTATATATGAATAGTCTCATTAGCTTGGCAAGACAAGTTGAGAATTCTTGGTGCACTAGGTCCATTTATATCTGTAGTTACTATTACCGAATCAGATGCATAACCTTCATGTTTCTGTGTGAAAGCTTTTACAAATATTGTGTATTCAGTCATAGGTTCTGAAAAATTTAATTATAATTAGTAAATAAAACATTATTATTATAAGTAATATTAAAAATAATTTAAATGAATCACTGAATGATGTCATTGGAACAAAAATAAATGGTAAAATTAAAAAATACTTAGCATTCATAATTAACATTACTTATACAATCTCAAAAAATGGTTTAATGAATATGCAAGGTTGACAAGAATTATAAAATATGATTAAAAAGGATGCACATTTACACATTTGCAGATATTAAGTAGTAAAATTTATAAGATTTTTATATAGTCTGGATCTTGATTTTTTAATAAACTTATGAATATTTGGGAACTATACTGAGAGATGATGAACAAATAGAAGCAACAATAACAAAGTGAACAAATCAACCTATTCATTAAACAAAACAATACTGGGACATGAAGATATAGAAACAGAACTAAAAATTAAAATCCACACAATAATTACATTTACCTATGCATGCGAAAACTAGGTAATAAGCAAGAAAATTAAATAAAAATAAATGCTGTGGAAATGAAATACTAAAGTTTCTAAAGAGCAAACAGAATACCTTGAAAATTTATAATTCCTTCTGAGCCTTTATTTTTAGTCCATCTTTTGTGAAAATTTTAGGAAATTACCAATTATAACAAAACTTAGGGCTGAGAAACCTTGCATTTTTTGTAAACCTTGGAAAAGTATTTATTTTTGAAAATTATTATAAGAAATTTAAAAAAACTATTACACACCATTCTATATTTAATATATGAAAATTTGCTGCTTTTTGTTTTAATAAATATCTATTAGTTTTTAAATGGGATGATTTCCCACATTTTTTTCTTAAATGTCTCTTAGAGTGCTACCTAAACATTGTACAAATTTAAAGCTCTCTATATTCCCAAGAAACATAATATCCTGAAGTATTCCCAGTGGCGTGCCCAAATACAATTATTTTATATTAGAGAATCCTTAAAACATTTTTGCGTTCAGTTTGCTCTTAAACAGTAAAAACTGAAAACAGCTCCATAATAATTGTTTAAAATAACTCAATGAGGTATATTATTTCAATAAATTCTACACAATTTGGCATTATCAACTGTAATTTTTCATCAATATCTGATTAATATTAATAATGGACAGTGAGATAATTAATTTCTTTCAAGAACTATAAAATTGATCTATGCTTTTTCAGAAGATGTGGTTTTCTTAGTGCATAATATTAATAGTTTATCTTTGTATTTCTTATGGCCTAATTAATTTTTGACTCTATATACCAGAATTATAGGAGGAAGAAAGGGTTTATGTACCATAAATTTATGGCTCATAATAAATCAATTGCATCATAAATAAATGTATTTTATAGGTTTTGTGTTAATTGTAATAACTTGCCTATTAAAATAACACAGTGTATTTTTTACTCTCAATATTTTCATAAATCAAAGTGAAGTGACCTAGGGTTAAAAAACTGTCCCCAACCTTACAAACTATTAACATCCTTTGTCTTTTAATTACAGTAAATTGAAACCAATTACCAAAACAGTGGATTGTTTTTAATGCTACAAAAACTAGTTTGCATGCATTACAATATTTTTTGAAAAACTTACTCAGTCTAGTTAAATTGTAGATATTCAAAGAATCGTTATAGGGTATTTTATCAGGCCACACTTCAGTAAAGTTATTATGAATATAATACACTCTGTATCCCTCAATAGCACTGTTTTTTTTCTCAGGATTCATCCACCTTAAACGGATGCTATTTGAAGTGTAGTCTAATACAGTCAAATTTCTTGGTTTAGATGGGACTTCTGTATCTGTAGTAGTACTAGCATTATTATTATCATAAGGTGTGTCTTCGAGTTTTAGAAGTTCTAATTTTAATTTACTGATCGTAGTTGAGTATTTGGTCGTAGTTTCTTGTGCTACTATTTCGCAAATAGCAAGTACAAAATAAACAAAGGTATAGCCCATCCCTATTGCTAGAGGAATACACCGGGATCGTTAATTTTTGAGTTGTCAATTAATTACATTTTGCACTTCGCTTTAAAGTTGGTCAACACATTTTAAGCACTGTAGTCTGTTTACGGATTGGCGGATCGATTCAACCGCATATTAAGTTATTAATAAAAGTAAAACAACACAGGAAACAGGAAACCACAGTGATGTTTATTATGTGGAACACCACCCAACCCCAACAGCATCCGTGACCGTGAGTCACAGGACAACAACACAGACATAAAATGACAGCTGACAGGTCTAGACAGACACTGACAAATGAAAGAAGAGACTGTAAACTCTATGGTTTTATATTGCAGCGTTGTCAAGTTTCGTATATAAAAAGGCAGTGGCTCTGTGTGCGATATCGGATACGCAGCTGGGCGAATTTGTGTGTTACGACACGACGATCTAATTAAATTTCTTAGGACCGATTCAACCGTATGTTAAACGAAGTTTAAATTACTAAGCTAAGTTTAAAATGACATTTTTACATTAACAATGTCACAGATTCCTCGGAAAAGCTGGCTTTCAAAATTTCTACCTTGGTCAATGTGGATCTCCAAGGGCACTCCAAATCTAATAATAAATTCATTTATTAACACGTCTGCAACAGTTGCGGCCTCTTGATTTGGAATGGCGTAGACTTTCACACACTTCGTGAAATAATCCACAACCACCATCATGTATTTATTACCATCCTCGGTCATGAGGAATGGTCCAGCAATATCTAAGGCAATTCTTTCAAATGGGCTACCGACGTTGTACTGCTTCATGGGGGCCTTTCAGTTTCGTTGGGGTCCGCATTACTCACAGCACAGGAAGTACATTTCTTACACCAGTGCTTTACATAATCGGAACTGTTCATCCAATAAAACCGTCCACGAACTCTCTGAAGAGTTTACTTAACACCGAGATGTCCTCCGGATGGACTGTAGATTAACTGAAGAAGTACTTCGGCTACTCTAGTCTTTGGAATGACCAATTGTCTTCTGTTTTCGAAACCATAATCATTATCTAGTATAATAAACCTTCTTTCAGGATCAAAGAGTCCCACTGAGCCAAATATGACTTAACTATTAAAGAGAGATTTGATACTTCTTGCCAAGTAGATCGACGATTTTCTTCTTTTTATTGTTACAACTGCTTTAAAACGGGATTGTTCAATTTCAGTTGCTTCTTAATAAGAATTAATTTTTATCATGGTAAACAATTGATCGTATTTATTTCCATATTCTTTCTCTTATACAGTCCTTACTTCACTGTATCCACCAGAAGCCAGCGTAGCCGCTTCATATTCAAGAGCAGGGGACAAGACATCGACCAATGATTTGTGACTAGCTAAACGAAGTATTTATCTTTACTTGACAACATTTATATTGAGACTTAAACTAAACGTCGAAATAATCCACTTATATATAAAATTATAAGTCTGGAAAGAGCCTGTGTAGAAGAATCTCGAAATCTTCCTCCAGGCGTCGGACCCCATGCAGAGAAAATTTCAGCAATGTTTCGAGTCTTCGAGGTGGACGGGGAGCGATTGCCAACGCCAGACTCTATGTCGCGTAAACGTAAATATAAAACAGGGTCGATTTCGCACGACAGTACTTTCAAGAACTATTATCAAATTATTTCAATTATCGATTTTCTTGGGTTATTAGGTTATTACTATTGATAGTTATCAGACATTATATACAAAATGGTTAATGTAAATACATATAAGTGCAGGTTTTTATGTCTAAAGAAATACCAGTTGAATGCTCTTCACGATTTTTGTTTTTTGAAAAAACTGTAAACCTGGCTTATTTAACCAACTCTGTATCACCAACGGTTTAGAGAGCACATTTTAATTAAAAAATGGCCACCTGGTATGTTATTACAACTTATAGGACAATTTAAAATACACTTATCACAAACTTTCTTCAATAATATTACGTGCTTAGTCACAGTAGTCACTACCAAAAATTCAGTGCATAAATTTAAAATCATAATTTCAATTGGCGCGCTTTTATATTCTTCTGATTGGTTTAACGTTGACAGTTTTTCAAATGGACAAATCATAGAGCATTGTTTTTCTCCCAAACGATGAGAATTAGATCATCATTTCGTGAATATTCGAAATTACGGGAACGGGTATTTTTTTAAGAAGCATTTGTAAGTTTGGTATAGTTTATAGTTTAAAATTGTTTTACGTTTGCGTTAATTTAACAAACCTGCGACGGCAGTTTTGTTGTCTTATTAATAAAAAAGTGTGTGAACCTAGTGACGTTTAGGAAATTGTGATAGCGTTGTACCCCCTATATTGATCAGTATGGAACCGAAAAAGTCAGTTTGTACTCGACTACTATGAAATTTGGGATATTATTTTCAACAGTTCTATCAATCAACGACGTTATGTAAGTGTAATTAAATTGATTATTTGAAACTTTCTGGAGAATTCAAGGGGTCAATGCAAGAGCTGGACTTGTCAACTTTTATTACCTTTTCAGGATAGGTTTCACATACACACTACTGTAATGAGTTAATAAAGACTGTATAAAAACATAAGTCTGGTTTTTGGGTAGGGTGATGTAAAATTTATCAGAGAACGCATGTCCATATTAAAAATTACTTATGGCAAAAATAGGGACATGTTCACTACCTACTTGCATTGATACTTTCGATTATTCTCGGGGTACAAGTCAGATAAAAAATTAATTTAAATTTCGTCAACGTTTCGTGCAGACGTTTTCATAGCAGTATAAATTTAATAAACTACGTAAAAAAGTCGATGGAAAATATTATATGCCGGGTGGCCTCCCACCAAACACAATTAATGGCCAAACCAGGGTTGCCAGGTCGAAAAACTATTCATGAGAAAATGCAACAAAAATCATGAGATTTTCAGTAAAAATCATGAAACGCCTAATTTTATCAGGAATTAAAAAAAAAATGCGCCTATTTTATTAATATGCATTTTTATTGAACAAAAAAATCACTTTTCTCTTGAAAATAAAACATAAAATATAATAGAATAAAATAAACAAAGCTTCAAAACATAAAACAATAATTGGTAGGTACCTACTTCCTAGGTAACTGATAACGATAAGGTAGGAACATTGTTTTCAGTGTTCTCTGGTAGGAACTACCCTCTGAGAGAAGTACTAATACTATATTATTCGGAGTCAGACTCATACATTTTTGGTTAATTTTTTCAACAGTTCTTTTTTTATTTCAAATTAGGGTAAAATTTGATAACATACACATGAAGATTAACGTAATAAAAATGTTTTCTATCATTTAAAGAAATGATTTTAAAATAATCGGTAAAGTTTTACCCAGAACATCCCTCGATATAGATAGGTATACTATATACCAGAAACAAAAACTAAAAAAACCCTGTTTCACCTTTCACCCCACCGATATTTTTCTCAATTCGTGACCGCGCGGTTTTTTTCGTTCACGTTCACCGTTATTGAACCATATTGATTTGCTGCCCTTAAAATGGTCCAACTACACAAACGAAACGGACGCTTTATATTATTTCCATTCAAGAGGGACCTTTTTTGAATTTATACAATTTGTTTCAACGCCATTTTAAATTTTTAAAAACTTATTTAAGTTGTCTATATCTTCTATAGTGGAAAAAATTAAGGGATCAAAAAAAATCTCGATTTTTGCGATTATTCGAGTGGCTGTATCTTTGGTAAAAATGGTCGTACGTGAATGAAAATAAAAAAGCAATTTCAGGCTTGAAGTGTCTAGTTTATGGATCTGGCGATAAAAAAATTTTCCAACCAACAATTAGAACAAAATCCTGATGACAATCATGAATAGAAAATGTTTGAAATTTTTTTTTTAATTTTTAGTGTATGGACTTGAAAAAAATGTTCTCGACATAACCACTATATGCATTGGATAGGTGGTTCAGTTAGCTTCAATTCCTTTTTTGATGGCCTCGAGATGACCCTTCCTTGCTGAGTTATCAGAAAATGAACGAAAATGCGTCATTTCCTCTTCTCTCGTCAATATCTCAGGAACCAATGGCCGCTCAGAAAATGAAAGGGGGGTTTCGGAAGCTCTGATTCATTCTCTACAAGGTTCTGGCATGTTCTTTCACGAGAATTTTTTTTTTCATCCCTAGCATGACTTTGAAGAATTTCGGAAAACAGGTCTTTTTGAGGTCTTTTAGAAAATCACGTGCTACATTGATAATATTGGGAAAATAAATAATGTTGAGTGTGCATCTTACAAACCATTGTTACCATGAAAGCCCTACAAAATTTCAACCTGATCCATCAAGCCGTTTCATTGTTTCATGCGAGTGAATTTTTGAAGAAATTGAAGGATCGCGTTTTTCTATCCAGGATATTCATCAGGATTTTGTGCTAATTGTTGGTTGGAAATTTTTTTTATCGCAAGATCCATAAACTAGAAACTTCAAGCTTCAAATTGCTTTTTTTTCATTCACGTACGACCATTTTTACCAAAGATACAGCCACTCGAAAAATCGAAAAAAATCGAGATTTTTTTTTGATCCCTTAATTTTTTCCACTAGTGTATAATACTCAGATAACAATAGTTTTTCTCTAAAGCCTATTTTGAGCTATCGTGCCAACAGACAGACGACGACAGACAAACCGACGAAATGAGGAAACATATTTATCTTGACATATTATTTCTTATCAAGGGAAGTAAAAATGGCATTTATTCTCACCAAAACTAACTAGTTCAATAATTGAGATAGCATAAAGAGGAGATGCTATGATGATACTAAAAGTGTCCGACCTTTTGCATTACACTTTTACATCATATGTCAAATTCAAGCTACCTAGTGGAACTATAGACCAGGGTCGATAATTTTTAAAACAAAAAAAAAAATAATAGGATGAAACCCATAAAAATGAAAGGAAAAATAATTTACGGGTGATCTGAGGTCGGGAAGTGGATGAGGGTGAGTTTTGAAGGATAAAAACGGTTTCCGGAATAACTACAACGTCGGTCTAAAGCACATTTATTTTATATCCAAAAACGCAAATTTAAACTTCTAGAAAGTGTATTTAAATGCCTTAATTCTCAATTTTAAATTTGAATTTATTGTAGTTTGGTGAGTGTTGGAGCTACAATGTTTGTGCCCAATAAAGAAGACTAAAATGCGATTTAATTGGCACCAAGATCGTTATAACATTAAATTTGGAGTTACAATATGTGTGCTTTAGATCGACGACAAGTCCTATGCA